CCCCAAAACCCCAAAACCCCAAAACCCCAAAACCCCATTTTTAATTTTAAATATTGAATATTTAATGGACCAAGGTAAAATTGATAACAGATGCTCTTAGTACAAACTACAAAGAATTTAGATAGCCTAAGATGCTTGTTTACAGAAATACAATAGAGTTGCTATATAATTAGCGTACAAACCATTCTCAAGACCAGAAATAATTAACAGTTTCAGAGTTTACAATTTAATTTACCTTTATTTAGATCAAGAGAGCCTTGGGTTCGATGAAAAGAACCATGGTCATAGTCAAATTGATTCGACTTGGCAACAGATAAATGTGAGTCCAAGAATGATAGAAGAAGAGAAAGAGCCTTCTCTTAACCTAAAAAATAAAAATAAGTTGCCTTCAAATAATGACTTCTTCCTACCTGACATACACAAGAGTAATTCTTGTGCTTTATATATAGAGGCACATTCTGCTTTCCCAAGCTTCAGCAACAAAATTAGGAACAGAAACCTGGGTTTTGGTGAATATGACGACAAAGGTACGCATATACCTGGTAGAGACTCCAACAAGCCAGGTATTGAAGTCGGGCTTTTTGAAAAACCACATCGTAAAAACACTGATCCTCAAGCAAAAGGTGAGAAAAATAATGGCTCTGAAGTAAATATTTCTCATCCTAGGGAAGACCACAAGAATGAGATGTAAGGCACCATTCTTATCTTTCCTATAGCACCGCGATTTTTGATAATACTTACGATCCAATAGCGAAGAATATCTACAAAGATGCTGATAATCAGGATAATTTAGACCCTGTGTTCCTAGAAGATAATGACAAAGAAGAGTAAGCCTTCTTTGACCTTGCTTTAGAGAGAAATCTGCAGTTTCAGAAAAGAAGAAAAATACAAACATATATGAGATTAACTACAATAAAATTGGTGGGGAAACACTCAAGGAGATTTATGAAGTTAAGTACTTCCTCATCTTTCCTGATATGCAGGCAAAACAATTCTGGGACCTGTTCATTACAATCCTGATCATTATTCTGTGCTTCCTTGTGCCATGGAGACTGGCCTTCTTCGATGACGAAGCTTCGCTTAGCTGGTTCATCGCAGATTCAGGCATTGATTGCTTCTTTTTAGTAGATATTGTGCTCAATTTCTTCACTGTTTATACTAACAGGTATGAAGATTATGTGACGGATCGAAGACTTATTGCGCTGAATTACCTTAAAGGATGGTTCATATTCGACATAATTTCAATCTTGCCTATCGAATACCTGATTGGAGACACACGAGGTCTCAACGATCTTGCTAGACTCGCAAGAGTTTTGAGGATGTACAAGCTAGTCAAAATTTTCAGATTAGTGAAACAGAGCGGTAAGATCCAAAAGTATGCTCAAGAATGGTTACAGATCGGTATGATAGTGGAGAGATCAATTACCTTCCTGTTCCTTATCGGAATTACAACTCATGTGTTTGCATGTATCTGGTACTTCTTATCCAAATGGTATGATTTCTCACATGATACATGGGTATACAGGACAGGATTAGCAGACGCAACTGATTTTAACGCCTATATATACTGCTTTTATTTCATCATTCAGGTGCTGACAACTGTTGGATATGGTGACATTACAATCCACTCTTCAACAGAGAAGCTCGTCATCATGATAATCATGCTTGTTGGTGTAGTTGTATTCTCATTCGCCTTCGGTTCCTTGCTCTCTGCCCTGACCAACATTGACAGCAGAGCTGCTAAGTTGAAAGAGAAGAAATTTGAGCTGAATTCTATCAAGAGAAAATATAATCTTCCAGAAGGTCTGTATGAGAGAATTTTTAAGTATTTCAAATTTGAAATCGAGCAGGATTCTAGTACAGAACTTTTTATCCAAACGCTTCCTGTGGTGCTTAGGAACGAGTTAATTCTGATGGTAAATAACCAAATTATCAACACTCTTTGGTTCTTCAAGACCAAGAACAAAGAGTTCTGTGCTGCTGCAGCTTCTCATTTTAAGAGCACCAAAGCATTTCAAGGAGATTGTATTTACGAAGAAAATGATCCAATTTTGGAAGTATTCTTCCTTCTTGAAGGCGAAGCTGGCTACACAATCTCGAAGAAAGGGACCACTATAGTTTATTCAAAGATCAAGCCTGGTGAGTTATTTGGAGATGTCGACATGGCTTCACTAGAAGGAGGTCTGACTGAGGTCAGAAGACAATTCACCGTAAAAGCAAGAGAAGATTGTGAACTCATTTTCCTTAAGAAAGAGTCAATTGTAGAGCTTCAGAAGGATTACCCAGTTTATACCAATGAGATATTTCATATAGTCAACTTTAGGAGAGATCAGTTGCTCAAATGTAAGGCTGTTGCTAAGAAACGCCTGCAGAAGGAAGTCAAGATCAGCATGAAGCGCTATAAGACAGAGAAGAAGGAAGACTCTATGCCTTTGAAACGGATGGATACTATAAAGATTGCTGATCTTAAATAAAGGTATTATTTCAAGCATAATATTTGATTAGAAACATTTATTGAGCTTGATGAACGTACAGAGAAGACTCAGTAAGAGTAATTTTAACGAAACTTTATAGGAGTATTAATCTTTATACAAGGAGAAGAGCTATCAGAATTTACGATAACTTACAAAAAGTCAAGGATTACACTACCAAAATAATCGCCGACTACAAAAAGAACTCCACAAAGAAGTCCAAAATGGAAATCCTCCTCGACCAAATCTCAGTACTTATAGCAGAACGAAGGAAGGAAAGGTACGACCAAGGGAATTTTAGGGGCTAACGGTGAGTTTAGGAACAAGAAGTTGGAAGAAGCGAGGAATAGGCTGAAGAAGTTTAGAGAAATGATGAAAGCGAAGAGTGAGACGAAGGTGAAGGAGGAGGAAGCGAAGAGGAAGAGAGACCAGGAGGAGAGGAAGATGCTGAAGATGGAGGATGTTTGTGGAATTGTGAGTAGAAGTGGATTATTTGTAGGTGTCTGGACAGGAAATGAGAGGGAAGGTTCAGAAGATTGTTTTGAAGAGGAAAATAATGTTGAAGTACAGATCGAAAGTGATGAACCAAAGTCTTGCTGATAAATGGAATATTCCTATTGTGTAAGTTAGCCCTTAAAATTCTATTTTGGGAAATTTTAAAGGGGTTTTGGGGTTTTGGGGTTTTGGGGTTTTGGGG